ATTTCGAGCATCTTTTGTAAAAGTAATTAAAACAGAAAATTCATTATATCTCATAAACGAAGACAGATAGGACATATATTTATATGACTTTTTTTCATTATTTTTAGACGTACAATCAGCTTCCGAAGTGGCTACAAGTTACAAAACACCCTGTATATATATATATATATATATATATATATATATATATATATATTTCGAGCGTCTTGCGATGGAAATTACGCGTGGCAGAGTTGCACTTCGAGAAAGGAAAGTACCGCGAAATATTAGTGATGCAAGTCCATTGTCTCCGGGCATTCTGATTGCCTTTTTCCCTCACCGCGTAGTCAACGGCCGCGCAGACCTATTTCTAAGACCGATACATATATATATATATATATATATATATATATAAAACATATTCTCACGAGCGTTAAACGGTCGATGCCGAGGCCTATATATGGGCGACTAATGCCCCGCGCTTTCTCCGGTTCCTCGTGGTCTCTTGCCCCACAGCCCGAAGACCCTCCTCCTCCTCCCCCCCCCTCCCACACCGATTAATTTTACGCCAACAATTACCACGGCCCTATTACCGTTCCTCAGGCACGTAAACCGCGAAAAATCAATTACCACTCCTCCTCTAATGAGGTGGTTCGAGACGCGGATCGCTTCCGAAGTAGGTGACTCGAGCGCGCTCGTGTAAATGAGCGCGCAGTTAGCTCTCGATGATGAAAGAAAGTGATGTGAACGCGTCGATCGGAACGGGAAAATTCCGATTTATCTCGCGCCTCGTGCCAGCTCGCGTGTTTTCTTTTGCTTGCTGAACTTTCTTCTTTTTTTTTTTTTTTTTTTTTTTTACATCGAGACGACGACTTCGAAGTTTCACGTCGGACGTTCGTAACTGAAAGACGATTTTGGTAGTTGACAAGCTTTGAAGTCTTCGAAGATCGAAATATTTCAAACTTGAGGCTTGAAAGTTTGAAAGTGAACATCATCCTGTTCACGTAACGAAAATGCTAGTCTTTTCATGAAAGACCGTCGCAAAACTTTCTGTTGATCCAAGTTTTTGTTGTACCTGATGTGTACAATTCTTCGCAGTAACGTTTATTTCCTCGTTTCATAAACAGTTGGGTAAAAAAACGTCACTCATCCGCAGCATTAAGTCGCTAAAAGCGGTATTAACGATATCTAGATTGTGGATTTCATAAGTATTTCCAATTATGTTGAATTTTCGTGCACGCACAATGTCGCAACTGTGCTTCATTTACTCTCGTTTTCTGCCTCTTCGTTTAAAGAGAGAGCATTACACATCTGAGCAGTTATAAATATTGCAGTTACAATCGTGACGTAAAGAAGAAAGCAAGAAAGCAGTTGCACACACTGCAGAAATTAATATTTATCAGCATTATTAAACAAAATGATTGTCAAGGCTTTCTGTGATCATTTATTTATCCAGCCTTTAATTTTCACAACCAAACGTCGGGCGTGAGTAAAACTAATCATCCACGATAATAACCAAAAATATCTTTCACTCGTTTTTAATAAATTTAATAAATAAAATGTGAATTTATCACCCTCCAATTGTATTATTGAATTCAACGATCTACTTGAATTTCCATTTGTATATTTTTCAATAATTAATTGTTATTTTTCAACAAACGACGATACCACTCCAAAGCTGAATTATTACCATACTGCAGATTTCTAGACATTATAACATTTATCGTGTGAAATACAAGTTTTCACTTCTTGAATCATTTTGCGAAAAATATGAATGTACAAATAATAATTAATTTAAATTCGATAAACACGAGGATGCTATATAATGAGGCTTCTATACTAACTCACGAGTAAACTTCAAAAGCAACGAAACGCCAAACAGTCTTCGAACGTCTCTTGACATATCCGCAATAAATCGTCAGTACAATTATAGTCGTCGGTCCGAACCACCGAAGAATGATCATCGTCGTCAAATAGTAGAGACTCACCGACGAGTAGCAAAAGGAACGCGACGTATCCCAGCGCGCAGAGGTTGTCGAGCACCCGCATGATCCCTCCTCCTAGGTTTGCTCTTGGTCACCTAAACGCCCCAACCTGACTGCAGAAGCCTAGGATCCAAAGGTTCGTCGAGGAGCCAGCCTCATCCTCAACACCGTCGACGAGAGTCACAAGAGAGAGAACAAGCCAGATTACACGAAATAATAATACACGGACGGAACGAGACCGAGAAGAGAACGAATGAACGATGGTAACCGGTCCTCGAGACGCGAAAGACTGGGGAAAGGCGCGTTTGCTCGGTCGTTGGTTCAACGTTAAACACCGGCACAACCGCGACCACCTCTTCTGTTCCTTTGCTCCCTGCCATTCCCGATCTGTGCCGCTCTCCCTTCACGACAGATAAGTCCTCTCCCTTCACGGATCATCCTCTAGAAAGTCGCACGAGACGACCTTCTAGTTCACGGCGAAACGATGACACGCTGCGACGTCGATGATATCGCCGTCTCGTTTGATATTCCGGCCCCATCCCGGAGGCGAATCAGAGTTTATTTTCGGCGAAGGACGAGGACAGTGGATCGAAAAGCCTTTCGCAGGCAGCGATAGTTTCTCATCATCCCTTGTGAAAACGTGATGAAACTGTGTAGTTGACAGATTTGTGGATGTTCAAGGGGGCAGGACAATTTGACGGGTCTAAAAATTACGAACACTTTGGAGAGCAACAATAAAAAAAGAAAAAAAGAGGGCTCTTATTTAAGTTTTTAACGGTGGTCCTTTTACATAATTTTGTTTTTTTACATTTGCCTATCGGTGTACATGATTCCAGCCAGACAGGATTAGTTGTAACAAAAAGGCGGTAAAAGTGAACAATATTCTCTAGGGATTGACGAGCCAACATTTTCATTTTTGTGAAAATTATGAAAATAGCAGCTAGTTGTTTTTGATGTATCGAATTTGTGCCAAAAATTTCTACGTTTTTTGTTTATATTTCTCGAAATTGTATAATAATATATATCTCGAATATATAATAATATATGTCTCGAAAAAGTTAAAACATGTTCGATCGTCAATCCCTGGTAAATGTTACACTAAAGATACGTACCAAGTTTCACAGTAATCGGTTAGTTAGATACCGAGATATCTTGCACACCGTTTCTAAAAACCTAGTTTCGAGAGAAACGCGTTTAAAGTTTCAGAACGTCATTTTTCATATGTATCCTTTACTTACTTATTTTACTTATATATCGCGGCTCACAGTTCTTACAATTCACAACTAAATTGAATCCAAGTCCCCTAATATTTGAATCGTACGATTTCACTTTACAATACTGCTTAAAGTTGTAAACAGTGATACAAATTCAATGATTCTGTATCCGCGGATTTATTATTATACCCCAAAATAAGTTGTTTTAAAGGCTAAGACCTTTTGTATTTTATTTCTAAGACTTCAAACTACTATTTAAGACAAAAGAAAATGTCGATTTGTTGAAAATCTGTAGTAATCTGAATATCTTTACAATATTTCAATTCTTGCTTTCATTTTAGTAAAATATACGATATAGATTTATAAATCTCTTGGGAGATACGAGTCCTTCTATTTTTGTTTCAAGGAGTTTCATCCCTTGGTGAAAAATCTTGAACGATTAATTAGTGTCTCGATCGATATGCTGAAATTTTTATATTTTCCATTTCTTGCTCTCGTTCCAGTAAACCATGTAGTATAACATTTCATATTTATATCAAATATTTTGCATATTCTGTGTCAAGTTGTCATAATGTACGCTAATAAATAATCGTCGAAGAGTTAAACCTCGACTATCAAAATCAAATCATCGGGTTCGAGTTCCGGCTCTTCGGTGAAAGAAATCAAAATCACCTTTAACAGGGTCGAACGTATATTCTCTCGCGTTCGATACGACGAAAATAAAATAAAAAGATCTTCAGCTGCAGGCTAAACTTTAACCGCTTCACTCGTTGCTAAAGATGCCTCGATTTCTTAAGACGGCGACCCAAGCGATCGGTCGAATATCAATCAGCGTGTTGCATCAGTCATCTGTTGGTTACGTGTAATTTCACGGGAACGTGTTACAAAGCGATTTCTCTGTTTTTATTTTGACCATCGTCGAGCTTGGCCATCTGACGTGACAGTGGTCCATTTAAATCACAGAATTTCATCGACATATCTATCGAATATATATCTCAAATATCTGCTTCAGTTTTTACCGACATTCCAGATGTATTCAAAATATTTCATACTGAATTTAAGGCGACGAGGTTTTGAAGATTTCTTTGAACAGCGATCGGTTTATTCAGAAGCTTCACGGCGATAAATTTGCTGCGAGGAAAATTTTCGAGACGAATCTTTTTCCAAATTGAATCTTGGAACTTTAAACGTCCGATTTGTATGATTTTGTATGATATTGTTGTCCAGCAATTACACAGATCTTTCACACTGACTTTAAGATAATGAATTTTTGACTTTTGTAACGGTAGCCTTTGGACATTGACATGGGAGGATAAAAAATTCTCATCGACTTTATTTGGTTTAATAGTGAATCCACTGTACAATATAATATAGTTTTATCCACTTATATAAGATGCATTCTTCATAAATTTATTTTATTACGTTTTTCTTACTTAATGTTAGTATGTTTAACTTAAACTCATTGCTAGTGAAGTAATATATAGAAAATGCGTAATATACTGTTTTATCCAACTATCCGGAATTTATTATACTTTATACAGGAGAAAATTTCCGTAATTGAAGGAGTGTCGTTAATATCATCAATATTATCAGTTTCTTTAAACCTGGTAAATTGACCAAAAGAGAATTATAAAATTGTAAAATACAATTAAAATTAGATTAGTCTAGCTAACCAAATAATTGTTATTCTTCGTAAATTTCGTGACACAACGAGCCTTCATTCATACATCACGTTTGCATTTCAGAAACTGATGACTATTTCCTCCTCCCTGGTGGAAACGCAAAACACTGACACTACAGAGGCAACTGTTACCCAGCATTTCGCTTATCTACACGGTGTTCTTCAAAACGTGGAGAAACAGATCATCATCTCGCTACGCGAGCACAAAGATTTCCGAAGAAAAAATATCGACGCAATTTCCACGGAGTTGAAAGAGTACGAGGAACAACTTCAATCTGCAATTGTGGTAAGAATTCGAAGATAAGCCCGAAATCAATAATAAATTCTCTTTGTCATATTTCATTTCGTTGACGTTCTCTTGTCACACAATTTATCGTGTTCAATTCGTAATATAAATTTCGCTCGCAATATAACATAACATAACGTGAATTAAATTTTCAAGTTTCAATTCGCTGGAATTATCGTCTGTTTTTCAGCCTCGAATTGAACACCGCGTTTTACGCGCTCTGTTTCATTGGCTAAATTATATCTATGTTTTTAGACAAAGCATTATTGCATCCACAATTTCAACTTGATTGGTATAATTATTAAGTCCGCAGGGAAGTTCCGTTGCTTTTATTCATTCGATGTGTTTCTCCTCTGCGCAATAAACGAAAATGCCTGCACTCGTAACGAGATTTTCCTCGATTAGGTCTATAAAGTTTCGGGTGTATTAGTCTCTGCAGAGATTTTCGTATTTAAATGGAAAGGATCATTAAAAATTTTTCCTGACAGGGTAGAAAATTCGTAACAAGAAGGACAAATGTATTGGAACTTTCTTTTTTTCTTTTTTTGCTTGAGAAATTTTTTTAATTCAATGGTATTTTGATATGCAATTTATAAATGATATCATATTCTTGTCATTTATACTTATGTTTCATTGTATCGTTATGTTTATCATGTCTTTTTCTTAAAATCCACCAGCATTAGAGATACGTTAAATAGTTCAAAAATGACTCGAAATGGTCAAATGATCGTCGATTCGTGCGCCGAAAAATCTGTTCCAGATCTCTACATCGATCAAAGAAAATCTCAACAAGATAGACATTAAGCGTGTGATAAAAAAGTTGAAAACTCTGGTCAACATTCCTTGCCATTTGATTCAAAACGACGAGCCCGAGAACAGCGAAATCAAGTAAGCAATATTCCATGTTTCAGTTTGATATTTTTTATTTGTTTCTAGCAAGAAAAGGGAAGATTATAAAATTTTCATTAGAAGTTAAAAATACAATTTCAATTGAACAAGCAAAAGTCTTACTCCTCTGCACTTTCGCTATTAAAATCCATTAAAAATTCGTCAAAATTTTAATTATTTTAGTGACTTTTAATGGCTTCTTCTGCTATACAATTTTTACTACCTATGTTATCTATCTACTATCCTACTTCTTAATTTTCACTTTTTCAAACGATTCGCATCCACAAAAAGTACTTGTCATGTAATTCTGACTATGTGATTCTGGAAGGAAAGGAAAAACTCTTAGCAAGTCTTACTCCTCTGCACTTTCGCTATTAAAATCCATTAAAAATTCGTCAAAATTTTAATTATTTTAGTGACTTTTAATGGCTTCTTCTGCTATACAATTTTTACTACCTATGTTATCTATCTACTATCCTACTTCTTAATTTTCACTTTTTCAAACGATTCGCATTCACAAAAAGTACTTGTCATGTACTTCTGACTATGTGATTCTAAAGGGAAAGGAAAAACTCGATTTTATTCCACAACAGCAATTTTGATTAAAAAGTCAAAAGTCAGAAGTGAGTCAGAAAGATAGAAAATTCTTACTTTTTAATTCAAATTAAAACGAACGAAGGTCAGACAAATCAAATTTTATCGAAAGTATTTCCATCGCGCGATTATCATCAATTTTTTCCCATATCGTATCGATAGAGTATCATCATCGATCCAGGACAGTGTTTATCTCGATGCCGACGTTTTGAAACGATCGAACGACAAAATCGAATCTCTTAACAATGTTGCAGCTCTCGTCTCATCAATCTCGCCGAGATTTATCGAATCGCGCAGTGAAAAATCCAGAGGCTTTTGATAAATCAAAATCTCCGGTGCATATTGAACGATTTATTTTTCGCCGACAGTGACGATGGCGCAGAGTCGGACAAATCCTCTGTCGTTTATATTCGTAAGCAGCGCGAAAAGGGAATAAAAGGCAGAGGGAGAGAGAATAGAGGGAACGGGGAGAGCACTCGAGGTGTAAGAGTAATTAATTAAAGCAGAATGTACCTGTGGTTGCGTTTTAAAGCGGCTTCGGCGGTTTTTTTTTTCTTTCTTTCTTTTTTTTTTNTTTTTTTTCTTTTTTAAACCACCAGAACGAACGTCACCTTTTTATTTTCTCCGTCGAGGTTTCAACCGGCTAAAACAAATCCGTGCTCTCTTTGTTTCCCTTCCCTTCGATGCTTCTGCCCGATAATTCGAATGGAATCGAGATTTCAATATTCGATTACGTAGGTTCTTAAGTTCTAATTCACTGGCGATCCTTTTTACGAGATTTTCAGATCTGGAACTAATGCGAATATATTTCGCGAAATTTTCGGATCCGGAAGTAATATGGAAATGTTTTTCATGAAATTCCCAGACGAGTAATATGCGAATTCGTGTGTGTGAAAGTAATTTGAAAGAAATAGCAACTGTAGATCGACACTTTCTGATATCGAGACAAATTATAATTATCAGTAGCTAGTGCTATTAATATGTCATTTTTATCTCACGAATCTTCCATTTTAGACAATTTTTTTATTTTTTCTTCTTTATTGAAGTTTTCATCGAATTCTTGGTAATCATAGAACGAAATAATCATGAAGCGTTGTGAACAAAACCTTCTTAACAAAACCATTAGTTGTTTGAAACAAAATGTGAATCGTCATACTTGCGTTTATGGGACTTTAAAATATTTTGCATAACGCGAGTAATAGTATATTCATAAAAAGTGTTTGTAAGTTCGAATACCTTCGTGATTTCATTACTTCTTAATCAACAGGTTTTCTTAGAATCTGATAAAAAAATGTGTACGATTCTTTTCGCAGACTTCAGATCGACAACACCATTGTTGAAGCCATAGAAAAACACTGCAACATTCATATACCAGAAACGTGCTTCTTCAGCCTACAACGTACGGATTTACTGCCGAAAGATTACGAGATAGAACCATTGACCGAAGAAATTCACACCTCGAGTAATATATTCACTTTCTTCGTTACTCGCTTTGTTTATTTTAAGAACAAAAAGAAATTGAAGAAACTGCAATTCCAACAGAAATCAACTGAAAATCAAGTCAACCTTTTTGCGTTATATCATAGTAATGATACTTTTACACTTCTAAATATAAAAATCCTGTTCTTTTCTCTGTTTCTTTCTTTTCGAAATAGAAATATCATTTGATATCAATTTTTCTCATTGTTGCAAACTCTTCAATTCTGAATGAATAAACTACGTTAAATTGAAAAAAATATTCTACTTTCCGTAGAATCTAGAGAAGAATCCATCAATAGATCTCCGACTATATTAAACATTTGTCCCAGGAATAACGATGATCGTCCTACTGTTGGTACGTACTATGTTTTTCTTAATAATGAATATCACTTTCCATTCTCTTCTTCTAAGGAACATCTTTATGCAGTTATTGCAATCGGATTATAATAAATATTCCATCAGAAATAATTCATCGAAATTTATCATCAAGTAATTGTAGTTGTTAATTTGCCATTTTTCTATGAATCTTGCAGACAGTGTCTACCAATTTTCACTTGTATCTTATCAATAATTTTCTCGATAATTTAGATCCAGCATGAACAATACCTATGAACTTCTGATCGATCTTTCGTTATTTTTAATTAATTTCTTTTCCCTCATTTCAAGGATCCTCGGAGATGATCCGCATCACTCACGTTTTGGATCCCTCTTGTTTTTACGTTCAGATGGTGCAAAATCAGCAGAAGATATCAGAGCTTAGCAAGGGACTAGCCACACTGGCAAATACGACTGGAATAATACCAACGGAAATCACTTTAAGTACGATTATTACGATATCTTCACTTCCGCCAAGTTTGAACTTCTCTGTGTCCCGCGCCGAAAATTTTGTATTTGAAATTTTTTTTCAAATTCTATCTATATATTCATTTTTATATTCATTCTTGGTTGGAATGGATTTGTTCCATATATGAATACTTATTATTTAATCAATGATCTCACTCTAAAGGATTCGTTTTATTAGAAAATGTCAGATAAAAAGTAAATAAATTATAATCTGCAGTGGTTACGGAACGATAGCGTTAAAATAAATTTGCACGGGATGAAATTTTTGTTCACAATAACAAGGCTTAAGTTAAATTAAAGAATTGATTGATTCCTGTTTTATGAGGCTGCCTTGGTGATTTCATAGTTTTCACTATTTAAAAACAGAAAATATGTTTCTTTTCCCAGATGCACTGTACATCGTGCAATACTCGAAAGACAAGAACTGGTACCGTGCACGTGTTATAGACAAGAAAATGGTTGCAAACGATGACGAAAGATACACTCTGTTGTTCATTGATTATGGAATTACGGAGGAGAATGTTCCTTTGATTAGAATAAGAAATATCATACCACAATTTGCCATGTTACCGATGATGGCACTTAAATGCACTCTATTTGAAATTGTTCCTAACAATGGTAAATGGCACCCCGATGCCACTAAAGCTTTTAAGAAACTGGTTTGCACGTAAGTACAATCGAACTCGCGTGTCAACTGAAATTTGAATTTTAATTCCTGTTAATTTTGTTGCGCTGTAAATTTGCATTCTTCGTCATACTATAATTATTCGATATTTTATTACTACGTTAGGAATAAATTAATAATACTATAATATAGACAAAAATACAACGATTTATTTTATTCTTTAACATTAGCTTTTACTTTTAATATATCTCATTTGCCTCCAAATTGGAAAATTAAATTTGCCTATTTTATTTTATTTTTTTTTTTTTTCTTAGGAATTCTATGGTATCGATGTGCATAAAAATGATAACCGGCGATACCTATTACGTCGATCTATGTGTGATATCATCGAAAGATTCAGGCTTGATATCCGTGAAAGAGATGTTAACATTTATGAAATACGCGACTTCCATTTCACCGAATAGATTAATGGTAATTGCAACATGCTTGCAAACGTTTCTATTTTAATCTGCACAATTTCATTATCGATATTTTATTTTGAAGAGGACGAATCCTGATTCAGTAAGAAGATATTACAAAGAACAGCTGGATTTGGAAACATTCTCGGATGTACAAGTTATATTCGTCGAGTCTCCCAGTTCTATATATGTTCAACGAGTATGTAATCGATCAATACTTATCTATTATTTTACAATTACTTAGTTATTAATAATATTATTGTATTGTTCCTTACAATTAGCAAATACCTTTTCCTTTAGTAAATAAACAAGTAAAAATGATTACGTTTATATTTATGTTATAGACGCATTCAAATAGATCATATTTTTATAAAATGATACACGAAATGACGGATGATTACGAAAAGAATATATCTGCCACGGAATACATGATCCTTTCACCTTGTAAAGGTAATATTACTTAAAATTGTTTTATTGGATGTTTAACGAAATGTGAAATATCAGTATAACGAATTAAAGAATTAAAAATTTAATAGAAATTCTGAAAATACTTTTTCTAGTAAATTCTTAGTGTAGAAGCTACTATTTTCACCAACTATTTTTATTTAATTATATTATATTGTCAAATATTATTCGATTAAACAGTTAATTATTTTTTTACATAGATCTACCGTGTGCTGCCCGAGGAGTTAACGGATATTGGCACAGAGGACTTATACGCGAAGTTACAGAGAACACTGTACAAGTTTTCTACGTAGATGTAGGATACACGTTGATATTAAGTTACAATGAAATCAGATCACTGCCGAAGAAATACATGACTTGTAGAACACAGGTAATTAATCAATTTTACGATTCATATGCATATATATCCTTAATTGTAAAAACGATTCTTCTTCCGAAACGAAAAATATTATCCATTCGTTTCAGGCTATAAGAATTACATTGAAAAATATAAAGCCACAATCCAACAACAACCAATGGGAAATGGAAACTACAGAGTTCATAAAGAAATTTCTAATGGACACGAAGAACTTCAGAATTGTTCCTTTTAGTAAAGTTGGGGATACATACAACGTTGTTATGTTTACTGTTCATGACAGAATTAATGTCGCTGATTTGCTAGTGCAAAAACGTTTAGCAGTGTACACTAATTCTAGGTAAATACTTGAAGCGTATATATTTTCATTCTTATATATATTTTTAATATTATTTCCGAAGTCTGGAGTTAGTTTATCAAAAATAATCAGAAAACTCTGAAATTAAATGTAAATACTAAACAAAATGATGAAACATAATTAAATAACAAAAGTAAATATACTTCTCGTTTTATGACACAGTTCCTACAATACAAGTGCAGTTAACAAATCCGAAAACAAGAAAAACAAATCAAAAAAGAATGCTAGTCATGCAGAATTACCTGGTAAATTTTACGATGACCCGATGAACATTAGCTCGGAGAAAATAAATGAAGATCCTTTCAAAGTAAGCGTTCTGATACACCAAGCGCAATCTCCAGACAGTATTTATGTTTCGGAATCCACGTGTGATCACAATGAAGTCGAACAAATGATGAAACAAATGCAAGAATTTTATGGCAAGTATCGGGCTGCGAAACGAGATGTTTGGACCAAGGATACTACCTGTGCAGTTTATTTAGCGAAGAGTGAAATGTATTATCGTGGCCGAATCGTTGACATTAAGTCCGACGATAAAGTAATCGTATTTTTATACGACATAGGAATCGAGGAAACTGTATCAATGAACGATATACAATCATTGTATCCTTTGTTTTCTAAAATATCAACATACGTTTTTAAGATAAAGCTTATGGGTATATTGCCCTGCGGAGGCTCCACTACGTGGCCATCATTATCTTGTGAAAAATTGCACGAAATTATAAATAACAATCAGACGTCCAAATTCTACATATCTAAATTGGTAAGCGTTAGTCGCAGACAAATAAAAAAAAATTACGATATTTAATTAAGAAAAAAATAGTGTAAACAACATTTTTTATTCAGTTTGCATAACAAAAGTTTTATTTCTAACAATTATCACGAATTATATTGATAATATATAAGATAGATTAAATATTGAATGTACACTATTATAAACTTGTTTATTACTTATTTTACTGTGATTATCGTTTATTATTAACTTTTCTTTTTTTTTTTTTTTTGTTCTTTATTTTATAGGATGATGAGGATATGGAAGACTCGGCGATACCAGTAGAATTATGGATTAAAGAAGTAAAAATGGATGGGCCATTAGCGCCAATAAGATATGAAATTAATTCTGTTAATAGAATGTTGATTGAGAAAGGAGTAGCTTTACCTATAAAGGAGTATGTAATTGTTTTTAGCATTTTCTGACATAGTAATATTTTGTCATCTAATTTTTTTCATTAAAAAGTCGATTTGAAAAAAAATTTGCAGATACGCAAAAAAGAGAGATAAAATTTTAGCAATTGAATTGAAACGACAATTGGAGAAAAAGTTCGAAAGATTAACGAAATGCGATTCAAACATAAAGTGGTTCGAAATTAAAGATCACTCCAATGGTATTAAAAATGATACGGCATTACCATTATTGTTTCATTTAGACTCTGTTTCTAGTAATCTGATTTCTGAGAAAATGGAAGAAATACATGATAACACACCAGTACTGCCAAAATTTTTAACTTGGCTACCAGCAAAGCCAATAGAGGAAGATACATTTATCGCCATACCGACATATTTAGATCATTACGGCTTTCTTTATCTTCATTCCAAAACACATAGTATGTATATACTTCTTAAAATAATTCTATTAACATGTTAATTGCGCATACAAAAAAGTTTAAGAATAGATGAAATTAAAGAAAAATATTAAAGGAGACTCGTACCGTCATCCTGTCATTAGTCACAAAATAAAAATATTCTACGATAATAAAGTGCTGTGTTATCCGCAATCAACCTATTAAAAGATTCTAAAGAATCTAATGAATTTGTTAATAAACATATAATAATACAATCAATCCTTACATTTTTATTTCTTCCTTTTCAGGTGTTAAAATATTAGAATACATAGAAATGAAATTAGAAAAATTATATGCCAATTGTTCAACTGAATTTTGCGATACCACGTGGACTGTGGGGACTTCATGTATTGCACAATATCATGCAAATAAAAAATGGTATCGAGGAAAGATTGTAGGAATTGAAGAAAACGACATAATTAATGTAAAAATTTTTTTGTCACTTGTTTAATTATAAAATATATAATGCATTATAAAACATGTTACAGGTGGAATTTGTAGACTACGGAAACGTAGAAGAATGTACAATTGAAAATTTAAAAAAAAGAATTATCTTGGAAGATATCCCAATTCAATGCACAAAATGTTTAATCGACGGTTTAAATCCAGTAAATAGCTTAAATAATTTCTAGCTTTCAGAATGTTCCGTAGAACATGTAATCAGAGACATCACTTGACAGTAGATTCTGTACATGAAAATAATAGAAAAATTCATATAGACATATGTATGTCGTATTCGGCTTTGTTTGCCAAGAGATGTCCCCGATGCTACCGAACACCTTACCGGGTACATTATCTATCAATCAGTATATTTTAAAATATTCTTTAATAGGGTACTGAAAATGGACTATGGGTATTGGAAGATTTAGATAGAATACATAGTCTTCTTATTGAACAGGAATGTGAAGTTACGATTATAAAAAGAACTGAAAAGTATCTCGTTGTAAGTATTCTTACAAAAAACAAACTTTATTTAACCCGGGATTACCCACGTGGGGGTCTAGTGCCGGGATGTACCTGCACTAGACCCCCAGGTGGGTAATTCCGGGTTAATAATGAGATAATTAACAATGCTTATAATGTAATTAAATTTTATTTTTATTTATTTATTTATATCTTTTTAATTACATGCACCTATAATATTTCAGATTTCTTTGACGATATTACCAAATAAATATTGCGAAAAAAAAACTGATCTGATTGAATTTCTTATCAGTGAATGGAAAATGAACATTAAACCTAATATTGAAACTAACACAAGTGAAAATAGTATAATTACAAATAGTACGGCAGATGTAGTTATAGAAAACTCAAGATCATTTTGTTCAGACGATGAAGTAATAAAAGATCCAATTATTAGTGGAAATCCTGTGTTACTTTCAGATACTAATGCTGTAGAAGAAGCAAATAAGAATATTGTTGATGTTGAAAATTTATCGTGGTATAAATTACAAAATAAAATAACTACTTCGACTCCTATTGTTGCTTCTGAAGAAGATCTTTCAATGAATTATAAACTTCTCTATATACCAAAAGACATAGAATATATTGAGTTGGAAATGTGTTGTAGTATTAGTTCTACTAAATTCTATGCTCAATTAAAAGAAAATAATCATTCTATGGTATGTTGTGAAACTATTGCTATATAATCAATTTTTTACTTCATTTTACTTCAATATTTACAGCATAATTTTTCTTTCACTTTAGGTTTTAAATACATATTACACACAGTATAAATTTTTAATGAATGACTTACAAAATAATGCGGATAAGCAACCAGTGATTACAAATCTTACTGTTAGTAAGTATTACTTAATTACAAATTATTTATAACAAAAAACTAAAAATGATTATGGAAGAATAAAATATGTAGCTTCATCTTTATGTATTTTATAAACTGGAATAAATCTATTTATAGATACTCCATGTTGCGCAAAATTCACTGATAATCTTTGGTACCGATGTCTGATAACAGAATCTGAACCTATTGTAAATTCAAATAATATTGAAATTAAACTACTTTATGTCGATTACGGTAACGATGAATATAGAAAAGTAAATTCCCAAGAGTAAGTCATATTTAATTAGTTTATACATTAATATATTATTACATCTTAATATAAAAACAATTCTTTTATTTATACAAAAGGTGTGAATTATACACTTTAAAAAAAGAATGGTTGGACATACCTGCTATTGCAATAAAGTGTAAATTATGGAATATAAAAGTTGGTCCTACAGCAAATCCCAATGAATTACTCTTTCAATTAGCAAAAATGTACAATAAACATGTTATAGCTAAGATAAAAGTAAGTATACTATTTGTTACAATGTTAATAGATCATAAATGATAAAATTGATCGTTTTAGGAAACTGACGAAGAGTTTACGAGCATTGAATTGTATGAAGATGAAAAATGTGAAAAACTCTTATATAATACTTTAATCGAAGAAGGTTTGTTTGAAATTAAACAAAAAGAAAAATGACGATCTACATTATCCTCAAATAGTAATACATGTTTATTTCTATATTTACATTTAATAAGTAAGCTAAAATTACTTAACTGCAGAGCGGAAGTTTATGTTTTTGCATTTATTTTTGTGATAATTTCCTTTTTTATTGTTATAACATAAAACTTACAACTGACAACTAAGTTTTTTTTTTTAATTTAAATGTCTATTATTATAAAAGATAATTCATTATAAAAGTACATTAACGTTGAGCACTTTTAGCAATCTGTTCTTTAAGTAACAAAATACTTTGCCTCTGTTCAGGTGGTAACATAGCAATTTGTTCATCAGATAACTGTAATACTTGCATTATTAAAGCCGCCTAAAATAAAATTAATAATTATTTTTACATTTTGTCACCTATATAACATAATAATGTAAGATTTTACACATTTTTATATAATGTTTGATATTTGTGTACAATCTTTTTTTTTTAAATACCTTCTCTTGATCGGATGCTCCGCTTGGTATATTTCCTGCTGGAGACATGCCTGCCATAAGCCTGGACGTCGCAGATGTCGTTGACGTAGTCAATGCTGTCACAGAAGTTGCTACGCTAGCTGTAGCGACATTTGAAGATTGAGCAGGTGCTGCAACAGGTCTTGGCACCACTGGTGGTGCAACTGGCACTGGTGCTAAAAAATAAAATTATCAAAAAATAAAGATAGAATTATAAAGTAATTAATTTTTTTTATTTTGAGTTTTCTTGTTATTATAAAAAGTAAGAAACAAACATTTTAAGAAACTTACGATTAGCTTTTGTAATCCTCGGATCAATAGGCATTCTTTGATCTCTAGGATCTCTTGGATCTCTACCAAATCTGTCTGTTCTTGGATCACGACAAAAACTGAAAAAAATCATATACTTTTAGAATGTTTTAAATATTTCGATTTCAAGTTATCTAAGATAATTGTAGAACCTCTCAACTCCTTCAACAGGAAGTGTGCTGTAAAAAAGAACATATTCTTAAAAATACATTAATTTGAAAGATTTGTTTAACATGACAAAGGTACTAACTTGTCCGAGATATTGAATGTATTAAGTGCTCTAGGATCTGTATTAGCAGATACAGCTGGAGATGCACTAACAGGTGTTGATTGTACTTGTGGTCCTCTTAAATCTTGATCCATTCTAGCTAAACGTGGATCCATTTGTCTATCCAATGTACGTAAATCAACATCTTGACCTATCATAAAATTTTATTATTTTAACATTAGAGAATACGTAAATTCGAATAAATAAAATTAAAAGTTCATTGTTTTCACCAGCAAATATTGGTGCTGGAGGATTAGTAACTGCTGCTGGACGGGTAGGAGCCCATGGTTCTTCTATTCGGGGTACAACTGGATGCACTGCTGGTTTATCCGAAGGTGTTAATACACTTGGGATTGGATTTGCTTTATGTAACATATTGACTGCTGTATGAGGATCCACTATTCTCATTACTACCTGAGCTTGTAACAAGGCATATGCCAGTTGAGGATTCTGAAGCAACATTTGACGTGCCTCATTTGGATTGTTTTGTACACAGAGTTTCATTTGCTTCATAAGTTCGAACATTTGCTCAGGTGGCAAAGATGCAACAGCTTTACTTATAGCTTCTGGAGCTTTATCTGACTGTACTGCCTCTCCATATGGATTCTCAGTGTTCTGCCCTTGCAAGAGACTTTGCATTTCCATTCGACTCTTTTCTGTACATGCATTATCAACCCTTAATGTTCTTCCACCAATTTCATAACCATTTAGATTTCTCATAGCACTAAGAGCTGTCTCTTGATCTTTGTACTCACAAAAGCCATATCCTTTTGGCTTACCTGTTTCCCGGTCAAATACTAATCTAATTCAATTAAAAATTTTAGAAGGTATATAATAATTTATACAATATTGTCATTAATAATTAAAAAATAATAATTTTATAAATTTCAAAGATATTTAAGTGCAAAATAAACTTACTTAAACGAAAGTACTGGTCCAACTTCACTAAAAATATCCTTTAAATTCTCTTCTGTGGCTTCGTACGGGATATTCCCGACTGTTAAAAAACAACAAACATATTTCAAGGTTATGCGGTATCGTTATTGAAGAAGAAAAATCTATTATTAAACAATTATTCTCACCGAAAACACTCCGCATAGACTTGTCCATGAGCGATTGATCAGAAATAGTTGAATTACTCATTTTTGCAATTTTATTCGCTTTTGTTTATTATTCGAAATTTGAACGAAACAGTGACGAAATTTATCACTAGTTACTCTCTACTAGAAAAATACAAACGAAACCCAATTCACATTGATGTATGGTGTACCAACTATATTACTTTTTACTTTACTTCCTGTATTATTTTTATTACAGCATTTAAATAAAGTCGAATTACATTAAGATTACTTTATTATAAATCATATTCAATTATTCAATATCTCCCGAATATTAACCTCGATCAATTGATCTCCAAACTTATAAAAATAAAAAATCCAAAAACAAAAAAATAAACAAATATATTTCCTGTCATTTCAATAGTTTTACTTCTTTTTATTATATATTCATTTTATTTCATATAAAAATACATTTTCAATATTACAATCAATCAAGCATTAATTCTGAACTCGATACATGTTCATTTATCTATGATAAATATTTCTTACTTATCATAGATAAAATAACTCTCGCATATGCTTTAATAATTATTGAATTAAATGTTTTTACTTAATGGTGGAATAATCTCAAATTAGTATGAATTAATACCATTTTGTATTCATCGCAAGCTTGTATCACTGCTTCATCATTTACAGAACCAGAAGGGCTTGCAATATATTTGACGCCACTCTATAATTAAACAATTATTTTCTAAAGTTCAAAAAAGATATATTACAATACAATAGAATAAATAATTAAACTATATACCAATCTAGCTCTATCCACATTATCTCTGAATGGAAAGAAAGCGTCACTACTCAAAGCAACATCATCTGCTTGATTTATCCATTTTATTTTATCATCTTCTGAAAGTTTCTGTGGAACTTCCTCATACATTGCTGCCCAAGTAGCTTCATCCATATCTTTTCCAATGGATCCGTTTACATAATTGTCAATAGCGTTCGAAATTTCTGCTCTTTTTACATTTTTTTTAAACTTCATACCAGTGACATTAGGATGTTGTCGAAGCCACCTAAAAAAATGTCCATTATAATATTAACACTGATAGATCGATTATTGTGATATATTTAATAAATCTTAAAATATAATATACCAATTATCAGCTTTATCACCAGCAAGTCTTGTACAATGAATTCTTGATTGCTGTCCTGCACCAATTCCAATTACTTGCCCATCTTTTGCATAACAAACTGAATTACTTTGTGTGTACTTTAAAGCAATGGTAGCTACAATTAAATCTCTCATAGCACTGTCAGAAAGAGTTGTCAAATTTTTGGTTACTACATTGGAGAATGTATTTTTATCTATAACTGCATTATTACGTTTTTGTTCCAAAGTTAAACCGAACAAAACTCTACGTTCCATCTGAGATGGTACATAATTTGGATCAATTTGAAGTACACAATATGCACCATTCTTTTTCTTCTTCAAAATTTTAAGTGCCTCCTCTGAATAACCAGGCGCGATAATACCATCAGAAACTTCTCTAAAATTTTATAAACATTAAATATTTAAAAATACTATATATATATATATATATATATTATAAATATAATTTCTTAACTTCAATTTTTTATCTGATTGTATCATTTATTACCTAGATATGATTTTAGCAGTAACTTCATCACATACATCAGATAATGATATAAAATCTCCAAAACTTGACATTCTATCTGCTCCTCGTGCACGTGCATAAGCAGTAGCTAATGGTGTAAGTTGATCCAATAAGTCATCTACTTGACATAGCTTTGCTTGTACAGCGTCTAGTGGTACACCAATCGCCGCACCAGCTGGACTAACATGTTTAAAAGATGTTGCGGCTGGCAGATTTAGAGCTGCTTCTAACTCCTTTACTAGTTGATAACCATTTAATGCGTCACAAAGATTAATAAAACCTGGAGAGCCGTTTATCACCGTCAGTGGTAATTTATCTAGAGTAGTAAAGATTTGTGCTGGTTTTTGATGTGGATTCATTCCATATCTTAGTGTCAATTGAGAAATGCCACTACTGTACTGTTTGCGGAAATAATCGGAAATAGCATTATCATATTCCGCTGTATGAGTGAATGCTTTAAGCGCTAATATTTGTCTAAAAGTGAAAAAAGATAAAATGAATTGAAATTGCATATGAAAGTTAGAAAATTACATATTTTCTCTAATATTTATTTTAATAAAATATATACCTAGTTTCCAAAAAGGTATCTTTATTAGTAGATGATTCTAATTCTTTTCCAATTTTCTCATAGTCATTAGGATCGCAGACAACTGTTACCCTATTGTGATTTTTAGCAGCAGCTCGTAGCAAAGTTACTCCACCAATATCTATATTCTCTACTGCATCTTCAATTGTCACATCTGATTTTGCAATTGTGTTTACAAACGGATATAAATTGCATACCACAACTTGAATGAGCTGATAATTTTGTTTATGAAGATCTTGCTGATCAAGCTCTGTGAGTCTAGCTAATATACCTACGAAAAAAAAAAGAATTTTCTATATAATATGTATAATATAAGTAGAATAAAAAAATATATTTAAATGTATCAATCATTTTACCAGCATGAACAGCAGGATGAAGGGTTTTGACTCTTCCATTAAGCATTTCAGGTGCACCAGTGATATTAGATACATCTTTTACTGGAAGACCTGCATCTCTCAAAGATTTTGCTGTTCCACCAGATGCAATTAAAGATAAACCTAGTTCATGCAATTTTCTAGCAAATGGCAAAAGGTTTGTTTTATCAGAGACACTCAACAATGCTGAAAAATGACAAACAGAATAATATAATATAATTTTATGACATAAATGTATTAATTATTTTAGAAAACGTAATGAATAGATAATGACTACAAAAATATTAATATAAATAATATAAATAAAATATTCGTAATTACAATAACATAATAATATGATACGAACAATGAATTAACACGTTGAATACACGTGAAATTTACATATTTTAATTATGAACTATAACATTTAACTCTAAAATATGTTATATCAATGATAATCATCTTATTTTAATCATTCTAGAATATTTATAAATATACAAATGCCAAACAAGTTATATTAAGTTAACGAATATTTAAATCAGTTAAAAATATTAATCAATTTCAATCATAGGAAAATCTGTGTCTAAATCATAAGAAGAACATATATATTTTCTCAATATTAATTTTTTCTCTGCAAATGTGACTTACCTAAATTTCCGGCAGTCATATTTTTTTTTTTTTTAAATGTTACCCTAAAAAAGAAGTAAATATATACGAAAATAGTTAAATTACTCAATATAAATTACTCGCCGTTACTGTAAGCACTACTGAAGAGATTCAACAAGTGTACAACACTCAAGTAATCTTTAATCTCAATATATAGTCTGTATTGCATACGTATGTACAGCATATATATATATGTATAGGCGACAAAATGTGTTCACAATATGAAACACGTCGAATGTTTTTAAAATATCTTACAATTCGCGGGGGTCTTAAAAAGGTTAAATGTTATCACATTGGAATTAGACAAGATATCTTACAATAAACAAATATTAACTTGTAGAATAGATACAATTTGCAAAATATATTTTCATCGCTGAAAGTTTTTAATACGCTTGCGTTATTTTAAGGCATTATAAAATTTTAATAAATTTATTATAAAATAATAATAAATTATACTCCATATAAGATAATCTACATTATGAAAAAAATAATTATACAAAAATAACACAATAATTAAACATAGAGTATCTGAATAATTTCTTGGAAAATTAAATACAGTTCATTTATATCTTATACAATGGAAAATTTATCAGAATAAAAATAAAAAATGAATTGAATTGATAGAATTTAGAGGAATTATGAATTTTGTAAAAATAGTGAACAATGAATAATAATATTTAAATTACTTTTGAATAATATATTTATGCACTTTATCAATTATTATTGAATTAATGACATACAGGAGAAGGAAGGAACATTTTTTATTGAAGAAACTACTTTAATTTATTTCATGAAATTTATTATACATATTTTTCAATTTTTAATTCAATAAATTAATCACTGTTAATAATAACATTGTCCACTATTTCAGACAAGTTTGTCATTTTTTAAAATTTAAAATACAGTTTTAGTTAAAATAACTTAAATGCATTAGTATAATAAGGCAGCTGAATCTAATTTATTATTAATATCATATTGATCAATATTATATTTAGGAAAAAAAAATTATATCGTGACAATAAACATAATGTTAACAGGCATATTTCTGTTAAAGAGCATATTATAGAATAAAAAATTATATTATTTAAAATCATTTCATGTACTGTAATTATAGCCTGTCTTACAAAGTTTATATAGTTTTCTATTTATAAAGAACAAACTACTTATAAAAAAAAGAGAAATAACATAAAAGATCAAAATTGTCATTATCTAAATATTTCAAACAAAATTTTTACAATTTAAACATTTTATATATTTGCAATTTATAAGAATAATAAGATTTTGATATCTAAAATTAAAAGATAGACCAATGTAAAAATAAAAATTAAATAGCGATACTATATTCTTGAAAAGTATTGCATTAAAAACAACTGAATCTTAAGATTATCACATTTGTGTCTTTTTTTTTTTGTGATTGCAACTAACTTTTTAAAAATATAGTCATGCTTAAATACTTTATTGTAAGAACTATTTTTAGATTAGTTTATTATCAAAACCGAAAACATGTAGACTTTTTTTTAATTGTAAACTTGGCACAAATGTGCACAACTTCAAGAAAATTGGGCATATCAAATGTATGAGATGTGATAATTATATATATTTGTACTTATTTTATTAATCATTTTTGTAAGCTTTTGTTAAAAGTGAATATTATCAAAAATATTTTACAATAAAACTAAAAATATTTTTATACAAAAATATAAAAAAAAGAACATTATGAGACAGTGATTTTAATGCAACACTTGACATAAGAAAATTATATTTTTCTACATATAATGTAGAGTCTATATTTCTACAACGATATAAAAATGAATAAAATCTTTTTTGAAGTATTATTACAACGTTTAAATGTATTTTTTTACAGAGGAACAACATTAGTGTTTTAGTCCTGAGGAGCAACATAAATTATTCGAGAAAATATTAAATATTCTTATTAGTAAATATGTAATTCGATTATTCCTTCTTATACTATTGTAAAGAAAGAAAATCCTCTATTAAAAAAAACAAAATTTACAATACTGATTTTTTATCATTAGAAAACAAATTTCTCCTAAATCCTGATTATTTACAACATCAGAGTTGGAAAAAAATTACTGTATCTGATAGTTTAAATATACAATTTTCATCAAACCTCATAAAATAGATCAATTTTTAATAATTTTTTTTTTAATTTTTTACCACCTATTCGTCTTTCTCGTAAAAATCTAACAATGGCAACTTCCTTCTTTACCACTTTCATAATAGCTATGACATATCTACTTTTTTGGCGAATTTAATGAATCCGTATGTTCCCTTTCTTTTTCCGTAAGAAATATTTTGGTAATTACTACATCACCTGTACTGTACGTTTGGCAAGCCACGCTAATTCCAGTATTACGATCTGATCGTGGACTTTTATTTTTATCTTTACACGAGCATATACATTTTGTTGGAGATACATCTGCACTGCTTGAGGAAAACTGATCAGTCGTAGAACCGGTAACAGCTGAAAGAATAGCTTCTAATTTTTCAATTTTTTCAAATCTATCCATTCTTCCATCAGAAAGAATTTCATCCACCATTTGCATTGATTCTGTAAGACTTGGAGTTTCAGAATTCCTTGGTGATAATATACCACCTACAAAAATAGATATTTAAGTATATTACATATATTTAATTATATTAATTCAAAATAAAGTAAATCGATATTATTAAATAATGTGAATTATTGGTCAAAAGATATACCAGAATGTGAATTTTCAGAAGTGTAACTTTCTATACTGTGATATTCTGAATCTTCAATCTTATCCTCATAATCATCGTCGCTACTTTCTCCTTTATCTTGACTCATGTTTTCAAGTTTTTCTAACTTTCTTGCAACTTTGTAACTACCTTTTAGTTTCTCTTTTTCATCTTCGGTAAGATCAAGATAACGCAGAAGACGAATTTCACGATTACTTAAAACAATATTTTTAGTAGTTGCTTCTTCCATTTTTTTTTTCAAATCCGCAACTTCTGTTTCTACTTTTCGTTGCTTCTTTCGCGCTTTTACTTCTACAGGTTTAATATGTAATTGAATTTGCTCCTCACACAGTTCATTAAAAAGACTTTCTAGTTCTGGTTTTATAAGTCTAATAATAATATAAACAATTATATAATATAAAACAATTATAATTAACAATGATCATCAAAAATATAATTATCATCAACACAAGTTAATCGTAAATCAAATATTATTTTTGTTTATTTATTTATTAAATTAATTATAAATGCTTCTAATAAGAAATATTATATAATTATTCTCCTTCATTAAATAAATTGTGATGAATGAATTATTACATTAAATATGCATAGGACAAATCAATTAATAAATAAAAAATAATTAAATATCATACCTAGACATGCAGACATATATTTGTGGTACCAAACTTAGAACATCACTGCTAGCATAAATGAGCATGTCTCGTGTTATTGGACGCCTACACCAGTATTTTTGATTATTACGATAGATATTTTTCAATTGTTCTTTTAATGGATTACTTGGAGCACCATAATGATCACATAGTGTATTCAAATTAACGTTCTTAACTTTATATACAGGTTTGCCAGTTTCTTGAAATTGCAATACAGCATGAGCTGCCTAAAAATATAGAATTTATACTTTAAGTACCATATATTTTTGTTACTTTGTACTCTAATATTCATGTGAATCAAATACCTGTGTATCAAAAACATTATTTAACATAATATTAAATTGTCTATACAAATTGACACTGTCATTTCTACAGTCATGAATTACCTAAAATAATGCATATAATTAAATACTCAAAATAAAATTATAAAAATATAAATAAATTCATGAAGTGTTACAAAATCTATATAATTTAATTTAGTTTACCAATTTTAAATATTGTTCCTTACTTTAATAACATCTTTATGTTCTAGTAGTTTTTGAAGGCCTCCAGCATGTACAAGGGCAGGACAAGCAAATAAATCAAATACATATGCTTGACCAGACATAGTTCCAATTTGTACAAGTGTCAATTGTCCTTTAACTCCTAAATTTATTCCTTCGCAGTCAAATGAAACAACAATTTTACCATCAGGAGGAGGTTTACGAGGATTTATTATATCTTCTATAATTTGAAGGCTCTCTCTGACATTTACTATTGTTCTAGTCTGTTGCAATATCTTTAATTTCCAAGCATCTCCCAGTTGCATGGTTTGTAAACTTCTATCCTTTTCTGTATTATCTGCTAAAGTTTTCATTACAAGTGTATTTATTCTTTGTTTCAAAGTTTGTTGTTGTAAGCTTACTGGAGGAGAGCTACTGTTACTTTCAATCGATGGGGAATGAGAGTTTTGTACAGAATTAATTTGAGTTGTAGCATTGCTATTAGTACATTCTGAATTAATTGTTTGTTGAGATGCCTGAGTATTACTTGTAGTACTATTTTGATTTCGTGTAGAATTTGGAAATCTTGTTTTCGCTTTTCCTTCTGTAACAGAAGATTTTGGTTTTCCAATTAATGTTACTAAATTGCTTTGAACATGAAACGCATCTGGGAACATTTTAACAAATGTACACAAATCCTGTGGTGTTTTAAATATTGAGGTCCAATTTTCATAAGAAAATTTATCATTAACTATATTGAACATTTGATCTACAAGGATTGGACCCTTCCGTCCAATACACTCACAAAGAAAGTCTAATAACTTTGCAGTAATTTCTGGATCTATAGGTATATCAGGCTCTAACTCTACAAAAGGTTCTGCTTTCATGCCTTCATATTGCTTTAACATTACATTATCTTCAGTAACTACAAAAGCATCTGAATATTTTAAAAGAAAGTCTCTAAACTCCTTATAATGTTGACCAGAAATGTGTCTAACTTCTGGAGATGCTTGAGACCGATGTCCTAGAAGACTTTTTATTGGTACTTCTGTACCAACTCCATATTGCATTAATTTATTTGTAAAATATTCTACAGCTTCTCGGGCGTAATCGCGTTTACCTCCTAATTTACATCCATTTTCTTCTTCTACAATTTGTTGAAATGTATTGACTGATACATAATCGCCATTAATAATAAAAAGCATTGGATATTGAGCTAAAAACTTTTTAAGGCCACTTTGTGATCCACCAGCTATTTGGCGCATTTCTTTTGTAAACCCTTTAGCTCCAAACTGGCAGCTTAAGTCATGTAATGTTCGTGGACCACCTTTATCCATAAGAAGCTCAAAAAAAAATAGAAGTGTCATATTTCGTACAGTCTCATATTCTGAACTATCCATCTTTTTATTTTATTTGTTGGTTTCAAAGAATATATTTTTTATTAATTATAATATCCGTAGAATAATGTAATGATATATCCTAAACATAATAATTTATATAATTAAATTTCATTGATGTGAAAAATATATTATAATATAAATGGTATTTCTTACTCAAAATATTAAATATATTTATTCTATCTATTGGTTATAATATAATTTCTTAAATAATAGATAATAGATAAAATCAATAATAGTAATAATGTATATTTACCATCATTATAACTATCAAATACCAAGGATATGAGCACAAAAATAAATTATTGCCATCTTTTATTATATACTTTTACAAGTCTCTCATTGGCAAAATTTTTATATAAAAAGAGACGTTGTTTTAAGATCAATTGAATGCCAATGATCAAATAATTGCACAGCCACCATAACAAGGTAGAAAACTAGATCTAGAAACCCATTAATACACATAAAACAATAAAACATTAAATATTTGCAAATTTAAACAAATAGTCAAATATAAATTGTAACATTTGTCTAAATCTTTGGTAATTATTAAAGTGTATTATATCTTTTTTACAAACCTTATATTATTAATTAATTTCTTTTTAGATATAATTTCTTCTTTATTAATATAGTATTTATTGTATAAAATATGGACATTATAAAATTTTCCGTTATTTCTTTGTAAATCAGTTGGAACTCTCAATAATAATTTGCTTGGAAAGACTATGGATTATAATGTGATCTGTCAAATATAAATATTATGTTAACCTTACTTATAATACAAACGTACGTTTGTTTAACGATCAAGGATTAAGTATAGCGACAGACGTTGAACATTGAATAATAAAATATCTCTATATATCAATAATTCTTCAACAGACCAGAGAGAAACAATTATGTAAAATGTGACATAAATAGCAAAGAAGCTGCCCACCTATACATGCATGAATATTTATGAATTTATATTTTCTTTTTTACAAAGCAAATCGAGCGATTAAATTTCACAATTTGTTAACGTATCACAGCCGATATCACGTACAAGACATATGTCCGTATATTAATTCACTATACTACCGAATGGTATTGTGTAACTTGACATTGAACAGTATGATAATCACCTATGACAGTTGAAATTTCGTTGAACTTCAATACATATTAGACAATGAATCTCCGATATCTAAATTCTAAAATATCACAGGTCAAACAACTCTGACATAGATTTAAAATACCACGCCACACTGATAGTCTCGATATGTATTCCTGTAATATTTCTAAGCATTCTCGGACTCGTCCTTTCCTAAAGAAACAATTACAGTTAAGTTATCAAAAACTTTGTTTATTTTTTTGCACCTTGTCTAATATTATGTGATAAAATTTCAATCATTTGCCAATGTAGTGCACCGTGCAATATATCATCCTATACATATTGATATACACATATCCAATTAATCCTTATTTGGTAAAACAGACACAAGAGGGAGCAGTAAAAGAAGAAAATGTTTTTCTCAAAAGATTTTATGAAATGTTTATTTAATATCCATTTAAATTATAAGTGTATTTATATATAATGTCATTTTATTTATATTTATTAATTGGAAGGTAATTACACACTGTACAAAATAAAATATCAATTCTTTGTAAAAAGGAACATATTTCAAAAGCATATATGAAATACTTATACAAGAAAATTTTTAAGAAATATGTATATAATTAAGAAATATGTATTAATATACATATATTTTTAAATAATAAAAACTGCTACACTAAAAATAAAATTTCAAATTTTCAAATTTTTATTCAAAATTTAAATAAATCTAGTAATACTATATTTAATTAAAAAGGTAATTAACTGATTCATATTCATTTTCTCTTATATTTTTTCTTTTTTTATTACAAAAAATTAAAAATTTAAAAAAATACTATGTATATTTTATTCACTAGATTTCAATGTGTTATATTGGCTACACTTGTACAATTCATTTCGAATCATTTGTCATACAATTTGTTTGAAATAAGTTTGCAGTGAAATAAGAGTATTTTAAATAAAAACTATTGAAATAAATAGATTAAAAATAAGTTATAGCAAAGTGTTTTCTGAACACTGTGATAATTTATTAATAATACACATGAAAATTAATAAACAAACGAAAGTGTACGAATTAAAATTATTAATTTAGATTGAAATATGTCTTGCGGTGATGACGATGAATTTGAACCGCGAATTACACCAAAACCCGCTCCTAAACTTGATGTAAGCATTCTTACAGAATATAAAACAATGCATATGTAGTAGAGAAAAATAGCATTTTTCTAAATAATTTTATTAGTAAATTTAAAGTAGTAGTAGAATATTTATTTTTTCTATATTTTTTTGTAAACATTTTGTTAGAAGCACCAGAAGTTTAATAGCAAATTGTATGCACAAATATGTCGGTAAAGATTTAATGATAATATAACTTAATAAGAAGGATGATCTTCTAATAATTTTAATTTTACAGTGCTTTACAGTACCATCTGTACCTGAAGTTTCTCTAATATTTGATAAACCTTACAAGATTCCAGAACATACACATTTACCATTTGCAGAATCTAAAGGTTTAACAAGTAAAAATAATGGTTCTTTTTCATCAAATCATAATGGATCATATGCAGCTTGGAAAGAACAGAATTATTTAAGGAAATCGTCATCTTCTAAAGTCAATGATTATACAACTCCTCTGAAAGAACAATCTAATCAAAATTACAATGCACATTCATATTTGACAAAAGATAACACCGGAAATACTTTAAATGAATCCAAACGAAAGAGTTATACTTTAAGAGAAGATATTTATAATTCTTCAAAATGCAAACAAAAAACAAATAAAGGAAGCAATGAATCTCTTCATAAACATAATTATGAAGGATATGAAAGTAGTGCAATGTATAAAGATCAAAACACAAATGTAAAGAGTCAATGCAGCAATAAAATAAGACACATAGATTCTTTGTCTGCTACACCACATATTGTCAAACCTTGCATAAATGCTGACAATTACATTGTTAAAGAAAATGAATATTCTCCATTATTGTATGAAAGACAATTAGCAGCTCATAGTATTAATCAACAAAAAGGATCATATAATGATTCAGTTCCTGACTCAAATCTACAAAACTTATCTATTAATCCAAATACTTTGCAACGAAATGATTTTCAATTCCCATATTACTTAAGACAACAGCACCCTTATTTCAACATGAATGCATATTCATTTCCTCAACTCCATCCTTATCCTACTAATAATACGGATAATCAAGAAACATTAAAGAACTTACTACAAATTATAAATAATCAAAATGAACAGATCAAGTCTTTACAGACACAAGTGGATAGATTATTAAAAATGCAAGAAGAAACTCTAAAAGAAAGAAGGTGTTCTTGTTTCTTTCAATCACAAGAACAAAGTACAAACTCTAATGATATTTTAGATACTTCTAATTATATTACTGTGCCAGAAAATACAAGAAATACAAGAGAATCTTCTCTTACAGATAAAAGAAAAGAGAATTGTAACAAAGGTGAAAATCTAAACCAAAATGAATTGATATTAACAGATGCACAATCAAAAAAAGCATTTATGGGACAAAAAGTATCAATTGGTGTAATGACAAGTTTTGAATTAACTGTACAAAATAATCCTTTTACAGTAGATATTGATAATTATGAAAAGAAAGATACTCGACAAAAGCAAGAAAATTTTAAAGTGTGTAATAGTGTTGGTCTTCATGATACCAATGAGTCATTAAGAAGATATAAAAATTCTTTTACTCGAATACCTAGTGCACAATTAGAAAATATAGTTGAAGATTCAGAAAGTTATATGTCATCTAGTCAACAACAAAGTAGTAATTTAAATGCAACTACTTCTACAAGGGATTTAGAGAAACAAGCTTATGTAGATATTCGAAAAGAAATAGATGCCCATATATCTGAATCTCCAAAATTATGTAAAGAAGTGACAACAAATAAAACTGAAGTTAGAATAAAAAAAGATTTAAAAAATTGTAAAGAGAAAACTAGAAATTATGAAAATACAAAAACACCAATGATTCAAAGAACTGCTGAATATAGTGTTCCAAGAAGTAGAAAGATTGAAGCAAATACTATTACTAATGTAAATCAGGATAACAAAGCAAATATACGAGATAATGATTCTGTAAAAACAAATAATGTAAATAATTCTTGTTATTACAATGATTGTCAACAAGAAGGATTTAAACAAAATTCAAATTGCATTGAAGACAGTCTGATCTTAAATGGTGATGATTTGAAAATAAATGAAAGACTACCTAGTCCAGAACCAAGTCTTCATCTTGAAATGCAGGAGTACTCCAGTGATGATGATAGTGAAAATGTTAAACGAAGTTCAAACTTGGGCTGGACACTTTACAATGATGTTCTTGAACAAGTAAATCAATTATTACAAAAATCTGGTATTATAGATGAACAACAGAAACAAACAAAAGTAAATCAAAATGAACGCGATGAATCTGAAAGTAGAGTAGCATTAGATCCTGTAAAAGTAGCTACATTAGAACAACTTAAAAAACTTGGAATTAGTTTAAGTGAAAATTCAGAAGCTAAAGAATTGAACAGCAGTAACAAGTAAATCTCATATTTACCAAAAATCTGCATATAATTTTTTATATAATTGTGTGATTTAATATAGATTTTACTATATATATATATATGTATATGTATATGTATATATATAATTCAAATGATTAACACATGTATTATATAATTAAATTAGAATACATATAATATTGTCATATTTTTCATAAAAAATAATCTTAATAATAATTTTTAATAATTTAATAGGATGAGATTTGATTCAGCATATTATCCACGTTTGGATTATCAAACAAACATGACACAAGCTACAAGTGCTGTAAATGAAACAAATACAAGTATGCATATGAAAGCATTAGCTTTAAAGTACCTAAGTAATGAACAGCTTGCTGAATTAGCAGTACAAAGGCAAAGTGCATCTGTTAAACATCTCATGGTTAGCAACTTGCAAGGAACAAATATGTCTTTTGCCACAATGCGTTATTTAGAAAGATATCAGTTAGTTCCAGGAAAAACTAATATTCAAATAGAAGGTAAAATTTATCTTTAATTAGTGCATACATAAGATATTTTTAATTAAATTAAATTAATGAATTGACATTAAGAAATAAACAATTTTTGTTTTATTTTACAGATATTAATACATTGCAAAATGAAATGTCTCCAAAGGTAGATTTAAAAGTTACAAATCCAAGAAATAGTCCAAAACAATTTCCATTTAATCAAACACCGCAAACTTGTCCCAATAAGATTTTAGACATTTCAGCTTTAAAACAACAACCTAAACTCTTATAAATAACAAACGAAAATTATAATTTTTCATTCCCTAAAATTGTTATCTTTTTGATTGTTAATCCTTATTATTATAATTTTGATTATTTCTATGAATAACGTATAATTGTATCTATCAATATATGCTGCTTGATTGACCGCAAATAATATGCAGTCGTGAATAGTTATTTGTAAGCAATCAAAGGGTTAAAAATATTTATATTCAAAAGAAAATATCTTTACATTATTTATTTCATATATAATAAATACAAGAATTTTTTTAAATGAAGTATTTTAAGAACTATTTGACAATATAAAAATTTTATGTACAGTATTTATATAAATAATTCATACAACATAATGACTCATCAAGATTACTTCTTAAGTGAAAAATATAAATAAAAATAACATTTTTTATTAATAATGTACAAACATTTTTTGCATTTATAGAAAACTAAATACAAATAGATTTGTTAGTACTTGTGACTATTATAAATGATATGTTATATTTAAAATGTATAATTATTAAAAAAAATTTTATAACGAAATATATTAATATATCTTTATTTTGTTTTAGAGATTAAATACCATTTTGATTTATTTGAAATACCAATTTAATTGTATGAAATACCCCGATCTTTTTATTCAACATATCAATAATTTTTTCGAACTAAATATTTTCCACATGATACATTCATTCAATTTTTATATATAAGAGTATGTATTAAAAATTAATTTGAAATAAAGTTTTGTATTAAAACAACTAATAATATAGTTTTGTTTAAACAACTCGATAATGATAGAATTCCATAACTAAATGACTAATATTAATACCTGCGCATAATGTCATAATATATATTAGTAATATTATTGGTAATGTTGATAATATTATATGTGTCTTGTGAAGTATTTCCATGCCTAAAATAAATGTAAAAAATTTATTAACTTTTAATTACAAATTATAATAATTAAATCTTTATTTTTAATTTTGTAAAAATTAATTACTTGATTAATGAAAATTAAAATAATATAATGTATATAATACTAAATTTGTATACTTACTTGTATAACCCAAAAATGTTATATAAATATAGTAACTAACAGCTATTAACCAGATTGTGTTTCCAACAAATCGTGATGAAAAAGTATCATAACTTATAAGACCTAGAACAATAAATACAAAAAGAGAAATATTAATAACTTTGATAAGATAATATCAAATAGAATCTTACCATTATAAAAAAATAACTGTACAATGTGAAGTATAACTAAAGGTGGAAAAAATGCATTTAAATGTATATCAAATGCATAACCCCATTCTACATCCTGAGTTTTGTCAATCCTTAAATAACGATTTGTTATAATCCTGAAATTAGTAGAACTCATTTGTTTTATAATGCTTTATGCATACATATATGGCATAAATAAATAAATAAATAAATATATATATATGAAATTTTTAACATATATGCATATTTTCAATAAAAATAACACACAATTTACCAAAATACTGTTGCTACTATTAGACCAGCTACGAGATAATCAATAAATATCATATAAAATAATAGCTTTACAAATTGAAGAAATCCTAATCCCAAAACAATCGTAAAACCAATGGAAGATATACACAGACAACACATTAATAGTACTAAAAACGCAGGATCATCTCTTGCAAATTGTGATTTTGTTTCTAAAACAGATTTTATTTATCATAGTAATAATATATTATGATATTATTTTAAAAATACGAAGCAACTTACGTTTTCTACTTTGAAAATTTCTATATACTTTCTGTGGTGATATAAACAAAAAGATCATTTGCCACAAAGCAAATTCAAAGTCCATTTGTTCAAATTTTAATAATTTCCTTAGATATTTGTAACATTTTGTTGCTGCTCCCATACAATCTTGCCTAAAACACATTTATATAAATATTTTGTGATTAAACTTCTACTATAACTGAAAGTATGATTTTATTACCTATAAGTCACTGGCATAGGTAAATTTGATCCTGTTTCAATTGGACCTGGTGAATTACATCTACTTACTGGTGGTGACGTGGAATATTTCATTCTGGAATCTATTTAGGGCAAACCAATTATTCTTAAACAAATTCTAAGGACCATATAACACAAGCATCATAATTGTTTTTAGAAATTTTATTATACAATATAATTAATATTCTTAAAATATGAAAATTATAATTTCACCACGTTGTCAATAACATTTGTACATTGTCTTTTTTATTATAACAAGTAACATTTATTAATCAGACGTATCATTTATTGTTATAGGTTATGTTTATATACTTTAAATTATAAAAAAATATAGCATATATTAGATTTGTTCAATTATTTCATAAATAAACAATGTTAAATAATTATTTACATTAATAATAATCATATAAATGTATGTTTGCAATATCACTTTATATCTTTAAATCAAGGTTATTTGGACCACGATAGTTATTGGTCCGAGTCCATTCAATCTGGTTTAATTTTATATTCATTTTATTTTATAACCATTAAATATAAATATCAGTTACATTACATATTATTTATATACTGAAAATTCTACTTAAAATTTTACTTGAAATTCTAGTTAAAGTTTTTGGAAACAAATTTACATAAACGAAAAAATTATTAGTCCTTTCTAAATATATTTGTCATTTTTAGAATTCGATCTCAAGATAATGATATACTTAATCTAGAAATGTCAATAAGTCTTTGAATATTTGCATTGTTTAAGTTAGAAATTTTACTAACTCTTTAAATAATTTTTTATGTATTTTATGTATTTTTTTTACGAATTTATAAAAGATATAAATTTTATAATATTAAAATTTATCGTTTTCTGAAAAAAATCGTTTCATTTTTATCGCTTATTCACAAATTTAAATGATAAATATATAAAATTAATTTATTAAAAAATAATAGAAACATTAAAAGATAATATAATTAAACTTTAATTATTAAAAAACAAATATAATTCATATGCATTACTATTATATATTTATTAATAAATTAATAAAATTAATATGACTATGCATATGTCAATATAGTTACACACACAACATACAGACATATGATTACTTTTGAAAGTCTGATATATTAATTTATTTATTTATTCATTTTTATTGTTTATTTATATTATGTACAAAGTAATTTCTAAACACATAATGGACGCAACAAAGAAATCTGTTATATACAAATATATGATTACAGATACATATATTGAAAATTTCACACGTCAAACATAAAATTGTATGTGTAATTGAATTTTGTTTTATACATTGCCCCACGAGATAATATTTAAAGCTAATGTAGGTTCTAAGTGACTAACTTCCTGTTTTTTTTCCATACTTTTTTTATAAGATACAATTATATGCGTATATGTATACCATTTCTCATAGACCTCATACAATCATATATTCTTACATATCTTCTATACATTTTTGTATATATACATTTATATTTTATATATATATATATTTATTTATTTATATAGCAAACCATCGTATCAATACCGAAATTTATAAAAATATACATATACTTTTAAAAATTATGCACTTTAAATCAAGCACACTAATGCTAAATTATATGTATTGTAGGTATGTATGTATACGTAAATACTCAATTCAAATTTGGCTTATTCTATATTTACATATAATAAGCCAGCATTCAATTAAGTTTCACATTTCTTTTATGTCATCCTCTATTTCAAACGGTAGAGAATATTAGAGCTTTACGACTGATTATTTCGTATTTCGTGCGAACTCCTTCACGTGGAAATTGGAAGATATTGATAAATACAAAAGGATCAATTATTGATTTTTACATACATACAAATATATGTAAAAAGGCACTGAACGTACAACGAGTTCGTCCGCAATATAACTGATGGTATTAGGACGTATTACAAGTATTACAGGAGTAACGGCGCAATTAAGAATGTAATTAAGAATATTTTTTTCATTTTTTTACGATTTGACAGTAATAAAAAAATATCAGTTTCTTAATTACACAGAATAAATTTATAGTTGGCAGATACAGATCAACAAAGTATCATCGCATTATCTTTTAATATTGTTTCTAGATAATTGAAAATTGTTTAATCTTTACATTATTTTAAATTAAATTTGAATTTTAAATTTAAATTTAAATTGTTCAATTAAAATTTATTCGTTTAATCAAACGACCAATGTTATTATCAACAAAGTATTTAAATTATATCGCTTACATTTTTACAAATAATTTTATAAATGATTTGGACCCAAATGTATAAATTAATTTCGTTACGATAAAATATATTGCACATATGTAAAATTCTTGCATATAATTCATGTGATATTTAACATAATTTGTTGTTATCTAAATTTTCTACTTGAAAGATAAGTTTTGTTGTGTGCATAGATGCTTTATTGAAAGTATTGCATGTGTATATTTGTTATCTGAAATTGTACAAAGGATATCAGAAAAAATTCAGATGTTTAAGAATCATTATTCAGATTTCATATCGGTATATTCTAATATTTGCATTAACTTGATCGTTGCGATCAATTTTTATTTAATATCATTTGTGATATGATATATTTCAATTAATTCTTTTCAGTTGAGCACAATAAATTACATTTATTGCAATATCTTCTGTTTAAACTTAAACAATTTGATTCATTAATGTAGCACGGCTTTATATTCGAGTTATATATGTATATGTAAATGCACATCAATTGTAAAAATTTTGCATAGACTTCCTCGTTATGCAAGTGGTATTATACATATAAAGAATGAAATATTTATAATATACGAATAAAAATACATTAGGACAAAATTTCTGCATGTACTTTCTGAAAAATTTATTAATTTAATTACTTTAGACATTGTAGTCCAGTGCCCAGTATAATAAACAAATCTTATTTACAAGTTATAATTTTGTCATAATACATAATGTTATGCGCAAAGTACTAACAAACGTAGATTTTGTTTAGGAATGTTTACCAAATTTGTTTATAAATTGTACGTAATAAAGTATTTGTTTGTTATTTTTAATATTGTTTTAATACGTATATCATGATGTACTCTCATACACTGATAGTATTCCAGACACTAAATGTTTAATTCGTTATTTTATTCCATTTATATTTAATCGTAACGTCTTTTATAGTCATCTGCAAAAATGGTCATTATAGTAGTTACAAATATTTTAAAGAAATTTTCGTCGTATTATCATATTATTGTTTTTGTACACTTTATTTGAAATCATTAGAAAAGTTATCAATGTCATAAATATGCGATAAAAAAATGCAGTATTATTTAAAAATTTGAAATATTTTAATGTAATATATCCAACACGATATATATAATTTAAATTACTTTCTGTTTCTTAAATACATTATCGTTTGAGAAACAAAATAATTGTATTTTCTAACTTTGATCTCTGTAAATAATTAGTTTTAGTATACAAGATAATTTAATAACTTTGATTATCTAAAAGTATTTCCACTATTTTGACAAATATGAGAAAACTTTATAAAAATTATATAATATTAAAGAAGCCATAACATACCAATAATAATTTTTGTTTTAAGTGATCTTTCAAAGATTTCAAAGTTACTTTTATTTTTTTTAATAGCATAGTATACTATTTTATATTTAGAAAAATAGTGAATTTCAAAGATTTGAGAATAAATGAAAAACAGAAAAGTCTTACATCTGAAAATGATGTTCTTTTATATTAATAGTAGAGTCGTTGAATTATTGAAGATCATACACTTGTTATAATTTTCAAATTAATTATTATATATAATACTTAATGTTAATTATTATTTACATTTTTCATCATTTTTTTTATGTTAAATATATTTATGTATAGCACATATTCAATCCAAAATACCTCAACTATAAAAAAAATTGCAACATGTACTATGATTAAATGTATGAGTTTTGTAATTTAATGATTCCACTATGTTGATACAAACGAACACCATTTCCAATATTTTTCATAACATAAGATTTATTTTATTCTTTTATTTGATCATATTTCCGTTATATTACTGAGATTAGAAAAACAGCATGTAATTTTAGAAAATAAATGTGATTTTGAAATCTTCAAAAATCCTCCATTTACAAACAAATTATTATAAATATATTATGTACTTTCTCGTACAATTTTTGTGAATAAAGTCTTTTCATATTTTAAAAAATAATAAAGATATCCAAGGTAGTCAAAGTTTATCAATTATTCACATTTTGATTAAACTTAAATTCTAGGAAAAGTACAATCCACTTATTCTTATTAAACAGTTGCACAATCTTATGTAACAAAATCTTGTGTAAATAACACAAAGGAATTAAATGTAAAATGAATAAATACTACAAAATATATAGATAATTTTTACATATCAGGAATTATATACTTAGACAAAATTATACGTTTCTGTTGTTATATTCTATGTTCTACTACAAACATATCTTAAATAATGAAAACCTAATGTAATTGACGTTAATTTCTATTAATAATATACGAAATATTAATATAAAATAATAAGGGAAGACAATAAAGTTTTAAGTGATTACGCAGTATGATTGTACATCGTTAATTATCGGTGTCATATATCGCAAAAATTCATAATTGTGAAATTCCGCTTTCTAGTAAATATTAACAATGAATTAAACATATCTTGCAATTTTCTCACATTCAGTAATACATCAAGTAAAACATGTATATTTTTTTCCAGGAGTAGAATTTCCAGAGCATGTACAACTATTCACTTAATTTTGAAATAATATTCTAGTACAATGATATTTGATGTATCTCAATTATTTATTTGATCAATAGATAATATACGTATAATATAATTTGATTTCTTATAACATACAAAGCTTTCAGCTTTGTGTATGCAAATAATTGTTGTCTTTTGTGAAACAATACTTAGAGATTTCGTAATTTTAATCGAATCTGCATCTTGTGTAAAGATACTGTCAGTCTCTTGTTACAAAGATAGTGGCAGTTTCCTTATGCCCTGAATAAAATTACATGCAGAAATGGTTACCACCGTATTTACTGGAATACCTTAATTTTCTCTATTTTATTCACAACACTAGGCCATATTTCGTCTAAACTGCATCTATACAATGTTTAACGAATAAAAATACATTTAATGCAATGTGAGATTTTAAAGTAAAAATAAAACCAATAACAGTAATTAATGTTTAATTTTGAAATTTGTCACTTTACATAGTAATAAACAAACGTCATAGATCATATTATAATACACAAGTTTTCATAGTAGTTAAAAAATCAGACTTTCTAGGCCTGCAGCCTATGAAACGGAGTACATTATACATTGTATTTCTGTTGGACTTCAATCTAATCACAGTTTATTCTGATGAATGAGTTAACGTAAGTTTATCAGCCACGATTTTGTGACGAGCTTATTAAAAAAGAACAGTTCTAATATACCTTTTTTCCATACATTCCAATCACAATTTTATCCCAGTATCACCCTTACCCTGGACC